GTTTTTTGAGACAGGGTTTCTCTGTGGTTTTGGAGCCTGTCCTGGAACTAGCTCTTGTAGACCAGGCTGGTCTCGAACTCACAGAGATCCGCCTGCCTCTGCCTCCCGAGTGCTGGGATTAAAGGCGTGCGCCACCACTGCCCGGCCTCATAGCAGCTCTTATAATGGAAATACATTTAATTGCGGTGGATTAAATTTTCATAGGTTTAGTCAATTACCATCATGGTGTAACCTGGTGGCTTGCAGGTGCACAAGGTGGCGGAAAAGCAGCTGAATGGTTTGACCTCTTACCCACAGGCAACAAGAATTGGTGATGGCTTGATATAGGAGACCTCAAAGCATTCCCGTAGCGATACACTTCTTCCAGTAAAACCATACCTACTCCAGGAAAGCCACACCTTCTAAAGGTGTCAATCTCTCTGAGCACATGGGGGTCAGTTACATTCAAACTACTACATATCCCTTTTTGTATTTTATCAGTTTTCAAGTCCAATTCCAGAGGATCCGATGTCTTCTTGTGGTCTCTTCAGGGAATCGGCACACATGTCATTCACAGACACACATGGCAGTAATATCCACCCACCCCACAAAAACAGGCAGACAACCGCCCCCCCAAACAGAACCAAACAACTTAAAATGAGGTAAAAATAAAAAAAAATGAAAAGGATTTAAAATAATGGCTAGGGGCTGGAGAGCGAAACTGGGTGGAGCTTTTCTCTGCAAAGGGTTTTCAGACCTGCATACAGACTAAGTCAGAATCATCCTAGGTTGGCCAGGGTACTACCTGGATTTATCTTGCCAGGTGAAGGGTCAGCATAATGCCCGAATCCTAACAGTATCAGCAGGCACTCAGGCCCTCTGAACTGCTGAGCCGCCTTTACAGCTGGCTTTAAAATATTTTTTTTTCCTTTTTAGCATTTATTTTTTATTGATTGAGAATTTCATACATGCATAGAGAGGTTTTGATCAAATCTACCCTGTATCCCTCCCCTCCATCTCCTCCTCTATTCCCTCACAAACATTTCCCCCATAACTTCGTGTGACTTTTCAAAAAACTCACTGAATCCACTTGGCGCCACCTGCACGTGCTTGGGTGTGGGGTCACCTCCTGGCGCATGAGGAGTCAAGAGGCTGCATTCCTGAAGAAAATGGACTCTTCTCTCCTCTGTAGCTGAGAGTTACCAGTAGTCTTTAGCTAGGATGGGACTTCCTGAGCCCTGGTTTTAAAAACATGTTGTGAGTTCGAGGCCAGCCTGGTCTACAAGAGCTAGTTCCAGGACAGGCTCCGAAGCTACAGAGAAACCCTGTCTTGAAAAACCAAAAAAATAAAAATAAAATAAAATAAAAATAAAAAAATAAAAACATGTTGTGTGCATAGAGAGGCCAGGAGAGGGCGCTGCTTGGCCTCCTTTATCACACTTTACCTATTCCTTTGAGGTAGGGTCTCTCTCTGAAACAGAGGCTCAGTTTTCTTAGGCAGGCTGGAAGCCAACAGACCCCTTTGATTCTCCACCACCGCACACACACTTGGAGTTGGGGTTGCGGGCTCTCATTCGTGGCATGCCTGTCATGCTACCTGCTTACTGGGATCCCAGCTCAGGCCCTCATGATAGTGCAGCCAGTGCGTTTAATCCCTGAGCAACCTCTCCAGCTCCCGCCACGTGGTTTTTGATGACTGCTAGAATGATGTGATGGGGAAAAATTATTTTCTTAAATGGCTGAGACTATTTGGGAATTTTTTTTTAAAAAGCAACAGAAAAGAATGGAGAATTTTCACATGACCCCGTGGTAACTATTGACAGCATCGAGCTATGTAAACAGCCAGCCGAGAGGGCACATGTGTTTCCTGACTCCTGTGGAGATGAAGAAGGGGGTGTGGGGACATACACAACAAGGGCTTCCTTGTTCAAAGTTTATCAAACAGTTTCTAAGTGGACACATTTTATTAGCTATAACATAAACTTTAAAAAAGCCTTTTAGCCGGAGGTTGATGGCAAATGCCTTTAATACCTACACTCAGGAAGCAGAAGAATCCAGTATGGGCTACAGACTGATTTCCAGGACAGGCAGAGCAACAGAGAAAAACAAAACAAAAGACCAAAAAATAAAAAAAAAGAAACAAACAACAAAATACAAGAAAAGAAAAATGCACATTCCTTTCTGTTTTTGCAATAAAAATCACGATTTTTCCCGTTTTTAATTACAGCAGGTATTTTGCTCTTTTCAAACTCTTTATTTTTGTGTATATGAGCATTTTGCCTGCATGTGTCTGTGCACCACTTGTATGCTTGGTGCCTGAAGGGGTCAGAGACCACCTTGGATTCCCTGAAACTGGAGATCATGGCTGTGAGCTGGTATGCGGGAGCTCTTCGGAAGAGCAGTCAGTGCTCTTACCTGGTGAGCCATCTCTGCAGCCCCAAGAAGTTATTTTCAAAAAGCTAAAAAAGGAGCAACTATTTCAACATTGAGCAAATGTTACCTTCAGTCAGATTTCTCTATAACCTGTGACCACCAAAACAGGGAGGAGAACACAATGAGGACAGGAAGTTCGCATGTCAGTTTCTCTTTGGTTGTTTCTAGAAGCTTTTAGATCTCAGCTGTTCCATTGTGGGAGGATGTGGAGACGTGGAGAGGAAGCATAAGAAGTGACAAATGGGATGGCTCAGTGGGTAAAGGTGCTGGAAGACAAACTTGACCTGAGTTCAATCCCTGGAACTGACAGTGTGGAAAGAGAACTGACCTTTGCAAGTTGCCCTCTGACCTCCATTAGTGCTCTGAGGCACGCACAGGTGCACACACATGCAACTAAATAAACAAATAAAATAAGAAACAAAGTATCATATCAGGTGGTTTAAAGGGGAAGTAACCGGCTGGGACAGGAAGACTAAGGCATTTTAGACATAAACCTTTAAAGCACATCATATGTGTGCGGGTGTGCCTGTGTCAGAGGACAGCCGTGGGGGAGGGACGGTCCTTGCCTTTCACCTTGTTTGAGACAGGGTTTCTTTGTGTTCCTCGCTGTGTGCAGCCTAGCTGGCTGTGAGCTTCCGGAGTCTCCCACCCCCTCCCACCTCATCACAGGAGTGCTGGGATTTAAGATGTCTGGCTTTTCCTAGGCTCTGGGGATCTGAACTTAGGTCCCTATGCTTGTGTGGCTGTGACAAAAGCTTTCCCCACTGAGCTCTTCTCCAGAGCCCACACAAGAGTCTATTTAGATCTATGTCTTTTAGGTCTATTTGAACTTAATTATGAGAATACATAACTTCTAGAGACGTGACAGTCATCTGAGGTATTAGGGGCATTGGTCAGTGGTGAAACACTTACCCAATACTCATAAGCCCTGGGTTTCAAACCCAGCGTGAGAAAAAGTCCTAGACAGGGGACAGAGTGGGAGCTGGCCCTAGCCTCCTCTGATGAAGCCACAGTGACCCCAAGATATTCATTTGGTTCATTTCTGTTTACCTAGGGAAGGGGTGCTCAGTAGCATGAGGACGTGGGGCCCCTAGAGAACCTTGAGGGCCCAAGGGAGCAGCTGGATCAGGAGCAGGAAGTAAACAACTTTCTTTCCCCTCTGAGTGCTCAGCCAGGCTGGAGCCTCATCAAGGATTGGGGCTGCCTGAGATAGGGCACAGTGGTTGCTGTGGTCATGGGGATGACCTCTGAATCTCAGGAAAAGCCTGGAGGGAAGTCAGGGCTAAGAACGGCATGTGTAACTGGATCCCTTGCTGCTGTTTTTCAGGAAAACCAAAATGCTTCTCGCTTCACCTCGGAATCCTTCCCCTCACAGTGTTCCTCTTGGTCTTCTTTGGGTAAGAATCCGGGCTGATGAGGAACAGCTCCTGAGACCCTGACGGGGATCCTGAGCCATGAGCATGCCCGTTTCCATGGGAGTGATGAGGGTGCTCTTGGCCACTCCCACAGTGGCAGCCCACCTTTTGCTTTTCCCCAAAGTGAAGCATCTCTTACAAGACTATTTTGATTTCACAAAAGGGTTCTTGGGGCTAGATGCCCTATCATTTGACCCTAGCTGTGTGGGTGGGTCTGGGGAAGGAGGCAAAGGCAGGCCTGGTGGCTCCGAGGCATTTCTCTCTAGATGCAGATGGTCTGAGAACCCTCACAGAGCAAAGTCACTGCCATGTCCACTGGGGCTTCTGTAGACGCAGTCTGGAAATACAGTTCGGTGTAGTCTTGAGTTATAGGTACCTGGCATGGAGGTGGGGCTGTCTGCAGCTGTTACAGGTGTTTAGATAGAGGTAATGGGCCCAGGGTCCTTCCTCTCACCACCTCTTTTTCTAGTGTGGCGGGCATGCTTAGTCCTGTCAAGTGGCCCTGCATCCCCACTGAGAACTTCTGTGTTCACTGTGCTGGGTGCAGTGGTGCATTTTGGAGGCGGGGACAACCAGCAAGTCTCAGGTCTGTGAACTGAAAAGCTGCTCCTGTGCACACCCTTTCCCACAGCTATGGGTTCCTGAGCCAGAGAAGTCAGAAATCGAGAGACCCAGGAGCTGTGACTAGGTGAGTGTTTGTGGAATGTGCGTGTCATATATGTACGTGTGTCCTATGTGCGTATGCGTATGTAAGTGTGTATCATGTGTAAGTGTCGTATGCGTATGTAAGTGTGTATCATGTGTAAGTGTCTGTCATATGTGTCTGTGTGGTGAAGGGTTACTGACTGGGTGAACATTCTGCTTCATGCTGTCTTGTGCGTCTGCCTGTACTTCTACATAGATGGGTCTAGTCCTACTCTAGGCTGCCCAGAGCACCCTCAACTGCCCCATGCTGTCTTTTTAAAGGGAGTGTTTTGGGGAGCACTATTATCTTTCCTGACTTCAGCCTCGTCCTCCCTCCTGAACCTGCCTGGGACAGCTTCCATTCCCAGAACACCTTCCCTGCAGCCTGCTGAGTGCAAGGGTTTTTTTTTTTTTTCTTCTATAACTAGAACAAAGTTGTACCCTCAGGAACTATACTCCTTCCTCCAGTCTATGAATACCTGACCCCTACACCTTCCTGGTCTTAATCTGTCTCCTGCGTTCTCCTTTTGCAGTGCAGATGTCAGAAAGCTGGATGTCCGGGAAGTTGTAGCCCTATCAAGGTAACCTGCCCTCACATGGTGGTCGCCACTCTGGACTGGGGGATACAGATGTAGGGATATGTGTTTGTGCATCCGTGCATGTATGCATACATGTGTGTGTGTGTGTGTGTAATTATGAGCAGTTGGGATGCCCATTCTTGTCCATTTTGTGTTGACTAACTGCATGTCATTTGATTTTTAAATTGTCTGCCTGGCTCCTGAGGCACAGAGCTGAGTTTACAGCTGTTCACCGCATTCCCAGGGAAGCATACACAGAACATGAGTTTACCGTGCTCACCATTTCAATGTTCAGTGCAGTAAGCACATTCATGCTGTGGTGCAGCCATCACCACCATCCATCTCCAGAACATCCCATCTTGTAAACTGTGTCCGTTAATGACCGACTCCCCATTGCCCAGCCCTACTGGGGGTCCTGGCACCCATCTTGCCTGTTCTGTGTTGTTCCTCTGAGCACGGCCGCTCTGTAGTAGTGTCTCCTAGGGATGGGGTCCTGTAGGGTTTCTCTCCTGGTGCCTGGCCAGACTCACTCAGGAAAGTGTTATCCTGCACAGGCTTAATCCCTGTGCAGAAATTTCTTGTTTCCCTTTTTTTAAGTCTTGTTCACTGCCTTTAATAAAATTATTTTTGTTTTATGTGTATGAGTGTTTTGCCCACATGTATGTCTGTGTAAAACATTCATGTCTGTAAGCAATGAGGTCATTAATGGTTTTGGGTCCCCTGGAACTCGAGTTACAGACTGGTGTGGGTCTCCATGTGGGTGCTGGGAACTGAATCCTGTTGCTCTGCAAGAGGAGCCTGTGCACTTCTGGCTGAGCATCTCTCCAGCCCTGCATCTGCTTTATAAGCAATCATAGGGCAAGCAGCTTACTAGTAGGGGTGATTCATGACCCTTGGGGCTTGACCTTTTGAGGGAACTTTACACTGACATTGGGACTGGTCTCTGTTCAAAACAGAAAACTAGGAATCTGTGTGCCATCAACCAGGGGAGGACCATGGCAGACTGCAGGATTAGGCTAAACGGTCAGCGTCAACCCAGGATAGAAATGTTCAGTGTCGTATGACCTGTGATTAAAGTGGTCTCAGCTCTCCCAGCCTTAAGTGGGGGAGGGGGTCACGATTTCCTCTTTCTGCCTCGTGTCAAGTAAGACTGTGATCTTCCTACTTCGGTCCATCCTAGGCTCCCAGGGTCATGGACAGGCTCAATGGCTTGGTTGCCACCACTTGTTCAGGTCTGCGTGTCTGGTGCACAGCTGCCAGTGACATGCATCCCAGGGACTTTGTCACCTTGAGTTCTGGTGTTTTCTTATTGCAGGATGGTCTACGCCCAGCCAAAGATGTTAACACCCAGGTGAGTAGATTTAATCAGTGCATGTGTAGTGCAGGAGTCGCAAAGGTACAGAAGGACGATTTGCTTGCTCTGGGAAATAGTTCAGCAGCATACCTGATACCCTGGGTCAGTCTCCAGCACTGGAAAAACAAAAAACCCAATTATGATTCTCTTTGCACGCACTTCATCAACCATTTCCGAGACTTAAGGTTGTCTGATTCTGGAGCCCAGAGCTTCTTCTGATCTCATTTCCCATCTGGGCTTCTGTTCATTGTTTCCTGTTTCTGTCACCAGAGATTTCAGAGATGTGGTGGCTGCAGTGGCAGTAAACTCAGTTGCT